TTTTTTTTTTATTTTGTGCCGTAGTTGACGGTTTTATAAATTATGTGTAAATGTGTAAATTGCTCTGTAGATGGGTGCGAAGGGAAAAATTTTTTAGTCATAAAACCGGGAGGGGATACTGAGGTTCAAATTTATACTTATTTGATCGGAATTTGGGTGAACGGATTCACAATAAAAAAGTACGGTTTTTCTTTCTGATCCAACTTATTTCATTCATTTTGTTTCTTCTCTATCAATGTAGTCTGACTGTGGAAGAAGAAGAAATATTTTAAGGTATCAGGATTTTTGGCATAGTTTGGCATGCTTGCATTACTTTCCACCTTCCGCTATTTCATTTCCTCCTCCCCCTTGCACAGTCCTATCTCATCACGTTCCCCTGCATCTGGCTTCACTGATATGTCAAATTTTTGTTATATTTCTTCTATATCGGAATCAAATTATCTATTTTTGTTGTGTATGGTTTCTTTTTTTCATTTTGGTTTTCGTAATTTTTAAATTCTTATTGTAGCTTTTTGTTCTAAATTCAAGGGGAAAAAAGAAAAAACAAAAAAATTTTATTTTGTGTCTCATTTTTAAATGTCTTTTGTTTTTCTTAGGATGTTTCTTTGATTTTTAAGTCGATTACTCTGTTTGAGAGTTTTGTATTCTCTAAACTGGTTTGCAAGACTTGACAGGAGTGTTAGCAAAAATAAAATTTAAAAAAAAAACACCATTTTTTACTTGTTTTTCCAGTTGCTGAGATACGATTGAAAAGAAAAAAACCTTTTTTGAAAGACAAAATGTAGCTATCCGTTCCCAGCCTGCACCTCAGTGTTTTCGAAGAGGCGACTTCAAAACTGACGCTCTTAAGCTTGACCTGCAGATGAGGATTGGTAGCATACTGGGCGACAAGAGCGATGTGGTTGTTGAGTCCTGCAGTTATTTAAACTGGGTTGATCCAGCCTATCTTTTGTCGTTCTCCTTGCTTGCTGTCCTCCTCTGTGGATGTGTCAATGACTTCCACCAGTTCCTCGACGTCTTCGGTCCTCATTAACGTGGTGCTTGTATTTGTTAATTGTTAAGCCTGACTTCGAAAATTCTAGCTTTTTTTTTTTTGGTCGATTACATACCTTTATATACAACTCTCGACTTATGTTGGCATTGGTCAATACGTTGGCGATTAACGTTTTTCACCTGATTTTCTACTTTTTATTCCGGCCGATGGAGCATGCAGTTTTTTTCTTCTCTGTATATGCAAAAGCACATGTTCTGCTGCCTAACAAGAATGTGTTTGACCAGTTAGGCAGCCCTTTGTAATGCTAACTGGACTCGGGTATAAGTTTGGTAGTTAAGTACTGCCAGATCTTTTCGTTTTTCATGGAAGCAGGTACTGAAGTTTGTAAATGATTTTTTTTTTTTATTTTTTTGGCTGAGGAATAAGTGTTTTTGTGACGTTTAATGTTGTTAACATTTGTTGAATATGATAGTAGTGGGTTTTTGTAGATCATTGTACGGAAGGAGTCCTAATACTTTTTTTCTGTTATCCCAATTTTTCTGCTCCTCAAATGACTCTTACAAGAGATCCTGTGTAACTTGTCTTCTATTTCGAATTCGATATCTGTTCTGCAGTTATTTTGAAGTTGTATGGTATGTTGTTAGCATAAGATCCCAAAATAAATGTGCTGGAATTGCAAATTCTTCTCGAATATTGATTCTCACAAGGAAGAGTAATGTAGTGTGAAACAATTCTTCATTCGAAGCGTATAAATTGACAGAAGAAACTTTGTCAAGAAGGACGAGTGGAGTAGCTGCACGGTGCAACTTGATGTGGTTTGAGAAAGATGAGATCTTTGAATAGTTGGTAGATGTGCTGATGGAAGGAAATTTGACGAAATTTGTGGGTGGTAATGAGGGTTTTGAGGTGTCTATATCAGTAAATTCTCACAAATTTTGGAAGCTAATTCGGGTATTTGAATGGTTTTCATAAGGATTAGTTGTTAAAAACAGTGAAGTCTGTTTTTTAACGGAAAAGTATTGAAAACTAAGGTATTTCACTTTTCGTGGCATCGTAAAGTTGACTTTCGAAGTTATCAGCTAATATATTATAGGTCATGCTGGATGATAGTAAAAATACTTTTTCTTTATCAAGTTATTCTTTTCCAACGAACTACGACTTAGTGACTTTGGCGCTGGTTGTATAAAACTTTCAGACATTTAAATGGGGTTTTAATAACCGATCGATTAGTGCGATTGGTACGAGTGATTCTGCAAATAATTGGTGTAATGATGAGTGAGCAAATAATAATTGCAAAAAATTTAAGGGGTCTGTGAGTTGTCGCGCTGTTTTTTTAACAAGCATTACTTTCGGCTTTGGCCATTAAAAAATGGCTGCTAACACTTCAGTGAATTTGTAAATGATTTTTACGGTTCAGAAAAGATTTTACTTGTCATTTAATGTAACCGTTTAAGGTCGTTTCTTGTAAGTTTTGTTCGCTTTAATTTATGTTTATTCTTCACCGTTGAAACAACTTATTTGTTTAATTGATAAAACAATAAAAAGTCATCACTGGCTGGGTGGGTAAACGTTTGGCAAAAGAAAAAATTGGTCTTTAGTATTTACTTCGTTTTGTTCAGGTTTTCAGTCAGTTGCAAAAATTATTTTCATTCCACACACGTAATGTAATGACTGTGTTTTTATAGTATTGCTGCACATGAATTATAGTATTTCTTGAAGCCAATGCTTAGAATTACTAGTTGTATTTGACTTGTATGCATTGTTTTTGTTAAGAAAATGAAGAATTTTCAGGTTTTTTTATTTTTTTTTTTTTCACTTCAAAGTTCTGAAGAACAGTAGAGGAAGGTCATATTGCTGCACGTTGATTTAACTGTCTGGCAAGAACTGTTCTGAAGTTGTGAAAGCTGAAACTGCTGGATAATGCAGTAAATGTATTACCTTATTTGGTTTGTTTACCTTGGGAACTCTGCCAAGGTTCTGAGGTGAATCGAATAAAAAATGTACAGTTAATTGTCTATACAGGTGAGTATGCTGTTTATACGAGATTTGATGGTCAAATGCTATGAACAACTGAACTGTAAATTTGAAATCAGGGAAGTGTTTAGAATTTGGCCTACCCTGCATTTGAGAGCTGACGTTTGAGTGCTTAAGCAACGGTTTATTGGTTCTTCTGTTCTGTGGCACTGTCTCAATTTAATTTTCTGGGAATAAATTGGGTTAACAATACCTTCAAATTTCGATAAATTAACGTTTCAATCTCTGCTTTCTGCACTCCATTGTGCCGCAGAAAAGCAGAGATATACGGGACTTTAGATGGTCTTAGCCCATAAAATGGTTTATGGGAAACAAAAAATACTACTTAGGAGCAGTATATAATGCCTGGATAAATCATTATGGAATAAGTGATCACTTCAAATCAGGTGTTAATCTTCAGAAGAAGGGCTTGAAGAAGTTGGTGGAAAGTAAGAAATCGGGACGAAGTATGGTCCATAGAAAATTATAAAAATTAGGAAAATAATATTTCACAATACTGACTAGGAATGCGCTGTCTGTAGCTATCCAATTAACAAAAAATTTATGTAGTCGAGAGGAAAGGTTATAAACCGAAACTGTGTCTGGGGGAGAATCAGATCTTTTGTAGTATCCGACGTAGGAGTTTGAATGTTGCCATTCTTTGCTCTCAACTTGTGTAAATGTTAAGGGCTCGTTGAATAACTCTCAACTTAACGATTGTTTTGTATGTACAGCAAAGAAATAGTCGTAATATGTGGCAGTGAGGGAGAAGGGGACAGGCGGACAGAAAGATGGGGGCGATTTAAAAGAAAAAACCTGCAGTGATACACAGCATCATTATCAGTATCTTACTCGTCATTATGCCCAGAGAACGAAAGGCTTGTAAGGCGAAGAAGCTTCAAATTCTTACTATTTTAAAAGTCTGCATTGTCTTCTGGAATACAGAGGGGCAGCATCATAGCGTCTGGGTGTTTTTATACGATTTATTTTGAAGCAGTTATACAGACGACTCTGAACAAAATTTGTTACACTAAAGAACTGTCATGATTTGGAACTTCACACTATTCGTTACCCATTCTGAATGCATGTCTTTCTGTTATATATTTAGTAGTAACTTTATTCAAGTTTTTTACCACTGCGTTTTTAGTTTTCGTTCTTGGTCTGTTTTTAAGTGCATCTTTACAGAAACCTTATGCTGCTCAAGGTCTAGCATAAGAACTGAATTAATAAGAAGGTGATAGGGGATCTCAAAACAAAGATAAACATGCAGAAGAGATTCTTGGGATACTTGGAAATGTTGCGGCAGAGTATTACTGTAGCATAGGAGTGACGTTACTCCAGGATGTTCTGAATGGGAGGATTTCTTACGTATGGTTACTTGTAGTTAACCACTAAAGCAAACCATATACAGTGAGTTTGCTTTGGATCTTTTCTAAGTACTATGATTTAAACGGTGGAAGACTTTGTCTGTGTTGATGGGACTCAATAGTGGTCGCATCAAGCTTAATCAGAAATAATATAGGTGTTGGTTGTTGTCATTCACTGGTCATTCTGATGAAAATCTTCACGATACTCCAATGGCTTATAACAATTGAAGGACAATATTATGGTAACAGGAAATTGTTAACAGTTGGAACTGAAAATACGAACGGGTAACGTATTGAAAAAATATGCTTCGCTGAGTGACAGCTATTTATTTCTCTGTGAATGATGATCTTCTCTTAGAACGTAACCTTTTGAATAATAAAAACACTGTAATTTTTGAAAGATGTCTAGAGTTTCGTATACAGCGGATAAAAGCAAATTTGTGAAGCGAAAAAATTCTTGAGCAAGAGTTTTACTTAGCATAAGTTTCTTAAATCTTGCAACTCCAATGGCGCTACATAACACTTAGGGAAGAACAACGCAAATTGAGCTAAAAAAAAGTAAGTCAAGCTTATTTTTCTCTTATTTCTCTTACTGGCTAACGTACTTATGCAGGTAGGTATCAAACCCTCTCTGTTGTATTTGCCTGCTTTTTCTTTATGTTTTCAAATATGGAGTGCAAGGATCGATGTAGGTTTTTGCTTTCAGTTACATTAGGGTGAAGATTAGGTTTTGAGTAAATGAAAGTTTTTGGTGGTCAAAAAATTTTTTTACAGCTGAAAATTTTTGTGGTGATACAGAAAGTTACACGTAACATCAGTCGATCAATTTTAGACATTTCATAAATTATCTTTAGTTATTTCATTTCTCAGCCGCTTCATAATAAAAAGGTTACTTGTACTACTTTCTGCAAAAAGTTTTTATGATAAACCCTTCTTTTTATAACCGCTAAAAGGTCCTGACTTTTACAAGTTACACTGCAGCCTAATTAGCTCCTGAGATCTACAACACCAATCAGCAATTGTATTATTTATTGAAAGTTTTACTGGGTACGTTTTGACTTGACTGCTTATGCAGAGTTTGCAGAGTGGAAAGAAAATGCGAACCAGAAGCGGTTCTGTTTTTATTTGACATATCAAAGTCACTACATTGCTCTTGAAGAAGACATTGTGACGTGCAGTGTAAAAGAAATGGAATTTATTAGTTTATTAGCTGCATTAAACAGTAGTTCCAAATGAAAAAAAAGACCAGATTTAGAACTTTTATTATCACTTTCATTGAAACCAGCTGCCATCATTATTAGTGCAATCTTAATACCGTCACTGCCGTTAACGTTAATCTATTAGGTTATCAAGCCGGTAACAAGATTGTTAAAGAAGTACAAAAAAGCACAACAAAACTCGCTCACTACGCCAGGCTTTTGCTACAAATGAGAAGTTCGTATACTGAGCATAGAGCAAGCGTTTTCCACATTCCTTCAAATTACCTGTATAGCTGGACAATAAGTAGCGTATCTTTTCTCAACTCAAAAAGCTTGGTGACGCAACTACTGCGCTGAGGGTAAGGTTACTTCCAACCAATGGAGATAACACGTGAGGACTTGCAACAAGGGCGAAAAGTAACTGCGGTGAAAGTACGAGTGGAGACAAAACGAACGGACTCAGTACCAGCGGGGAAAGGGCCATAGGATTCAGGATTAAAGGATTAAGAACCAAAGGAGAAAGGATGAACGGTGTGGCAACTTGGGGAGAAAGGATGAAGGGTGAAAGAACAACTGGTGACAAAATAAATGGATTGAAGATACCAGGAGAAAGAATGAATGGATGTAAAACTAGTGGTGACAGGATAACTGGTGAAAAGATAAGAGGGTTCAGAATTAGAGGGGACAAAACACGAGGTGAAAGAATGACAGGTACAAACAGCCATGGACTCAATATAAATGGTCCTAGCACAGCCGGCGATAATATTACTGGTGAAAAAAGAACAGGTGAAAGAACTATCGCTTGAGAAAGAGTGCCTGGATTGAGAGTTAGGTCTTGGAACAGTAGTGGAGTCAAGACTACCTGGCGTTTATGCCTGCTTGATCTTTCTTGTCTTAAAGTTGACTTTAAGTTTCGTGATTTTGCAAGTACAGTTATATCATGCTCTATATGCCGCTGAAGTTCATCGGGGCTTTTTAAAGACGTAAGTCTTTTCAATGTAGCTTCTGATGCGTAAGGAGAATCTTTACCATAAAGGAGATGAAGTTGTTCTTTGCTCAAAACTGAGTACCCACTTGAATTCATTTCTTTGATCTGAAATGTCACAGTTTCTTTAGTGATATAGATATACCAATACTGCACTTGCAGAGACAAATAAACAAAATCAGAAAGATATTACCTGATGAACGTCTAAACTTTTATAAAGGTTCTCAAACGTATCAATTTTTCTGCGTCCATCTTCTCCGTATATTTCAGTAGCATTCTCTTTCGTGAAATACATTGGCTGACCATCAATCCCTCGCGCGTCTAATGCATTAGCTCCCTTCTCAACTGGTTTCAACTTCTAAAAGCGATTTGTGCTTTCTTTTTATCATATCAGGTATTTTACTTAAAGGCAAAATTATACAGCTAACCTTGGCTTCTTCTACGACGTCAGAAACACCAGTAGCTTCGGCAATCAAATTTATCATTTCTTCATGATCTTGATTTTGCATCACCTTTGTACCTTTGATAAGGCTTGGAATACTAAATTTTTTTTCAACGTCATTACCTTCGTCGTGTAAACTGAATAACGATGGCGATAGGAGGTTGATCTAAACATTCTTATACATCATTTTTTTCGTTAGATAATAGGTAAGCCATCTAAGAGCCTTGAAAAAAATTCTATTTTATAAGCGGGTTTTTTATGAGTAAACGTGATTTCGTTAAAAAACTTGCATGTTCATCATCTTCAGGAACAACAGAAAAGAATCGAGGAGACGCCAGTTTGACTGTTTTCCTATCAAAATCTGTTGTATTTTGACCAGCGATTGTCATACCCAATTTAATAGCTTTACGGACCAAATGAGGGGTACCAAGTGGATCTCTCTCTTTAACACTTCTATATTGTCCTTTTAGCATTTCAGGCATCATATCGAGAACCTCGTCTTCCTGACGGATCGGTTTTTATTAACTTTTTGCTACGAAACTATGGTAAAAAAAGACTTGAGGATTGGACACTCAGCTTTGATTTGCTTCTTTTCGTTCTTTTTCTTGAATCTAGCTGTAATAGTAATAAGCTTACTGTACAAATGCTTTTCAGAAAGAGGTATTTTGAGCAGCTTTTTTAAAAGTTGTTGACTGTGACTTGAATAATTTTAAATATCTTTTACTGAATAAATATTGACATTTTTTCGTTCTCTATCGAGTGAAACCCATTTGTTTGTTTAAACGAAGCTTTCATTTACAAACTTTACAAACTAATACTTGTTCATTTTTTAGCCAACAGTTCTATGTAAAATATTATTGTAAGATGAAGCGATTAAAAGTCATAGGTGTTTTTCAGTCAATTTAGGTAGCGATATTAATGCTGCCTTTCAACCTGCTCGTCTACTTATTTTCTATCTTTTGGTAAATTTCTTATTCCTTTTCCTGAACCTTTTGCCTTAGTACTTAGCTTTTATGATGATAATTTTTTACACGACGTTATAGTTTCTGCAAACTAAAATAAAGTAACTATTTTACGACGTTCGTTACCGTGGTTCTTCTCCGTTTCTGCTTCTGGATTGGAATGAAATGGGCAAGCGGATTTTTTGAAGGATCCTTAGCTTTGTTAAAGTGTTTTTCCAACTGTTTTATGCGTGCTACGTCTGATCTCCATCTGCAAAAAGCATCTACTCCAAAAACCAATTGAAGTGCCTATTTCCCGGATTTCCGGAACGAAGGAGTATAACTTCAATGATTTGTTATCGCAATGTGAAATACACGGTAAATGAACTACTGAACAAGCCGAATTGATCAGAATTAGGTTACAGTCAAACTTACGTTCCCTCTCTTTCTTTGTGTTTCATTCGACGGATGGTACGAGTAAGAGATTTCATTAAAATCCCTGCTGGACTTTGAATTTCGTTAGCTGACAACAAGTCATAACTGTCTTGTTTCACAATAGTCATGCGTGGGCCAGAAACTTTTACGGTTTTCGGAGTTCTTTGTATCACTGTTTGCTCCTTCTCGTCAGGATCTTCCGTTTCGGCTTCATCCCGTAAACGACGTTTAAAAGAATTTCTGCTGTCTGTTAGACTCATCGCGTCTAACCTACTGTACTTGCGCAGTCTCCTGTATTGCTCTTTCAGCTCCTTGAGATTAGTTGCTCTGTTACTCTCAGTAGTACTTGGCGGCTCAGTTACAAAGGCTTCTTCTGGCATATTACTAGCGAGGAGAGGTGATGGTATTTCTGAAAACTCGACAGAATATTCTCTGTTTTAGGAAACCTGAAACGTGATATAGCTAACACGCTAAGGATTACCCTCACGGCTGTCTCTATTGATATCCGCATTTTTAGATGATTTTAGGGCATCCACGATACACTTAGCATGTTTATGAAGCGATGAGGCACGTTTGGAACATTTTGTGAAGACCCGTCGGTCGCTGGTTGGTAATTCTGGGATGCTTAAATATTTCTGATTACAAATAATAGTCGGGATTGTTAGTTGTTCGTGCTTCTGTTTTATTTTTTTTCTTTTTTTACGAAAGCACCTACTGATCTTTCTTATTTTTGGTATTAAAACTGATATTATACTGTACTTTTTCGTTGCAAATGCAGAAAGGAAGCTGCTGTAAGCTTGAAACATCCAGTGTTCTATGAGTTCGATATGAGCATCGCCTGACATAGGAAGACTGATTTTCTTGCCGTCATAATATTTGGCACCTGGCATTGTTTCCTTTGTGAAAGTGGCGCCTGCTCCAACAAAAAGCAGTGTAGCGAAGAAGCATTTCACCAGAAGTGAGAGAGACATTAAGTTTCTGTAAAGATAGTGTTAAAAAATTTTTATTTGTTCTCGGTAGACGAGTATTTGAACAGTTTAATTTGTTTTTAGGCAAATTTGATTAGGAACTGTTCAAATCCGCAAATGAAGTGATTAAAAGCAGATCTTAAGAGCAAAATTTTTAGGGAATAATTGGTATTAGATTTAAAAAACTTGTATAGCTATAACACGAACTTTGTGTGTAAATTAAACATATGTGTAATGCACTATAGCCATAATTGTAAACAGATGTAATTGAAAAATAAAATATTAAGTTCTTTGTAAAACATTTTTCTTTTTCCAGCAATAACTTTTCTAAGTTTAGCTGAAATATGTATAAACCTTTATTTATTATCAAAAGAAGAAATGATTTTTTAAAAGTGCTATTTTTCTGAAGTGACACTAAACGAAAATTCTGAAGATGTTTTTATAAAGAGCATCTGGTTTGAAAGCTGCCATCTTATTGTTGACCTATATAGATTCAGCTGAGGAAAAACGCAGTTGAAGGAAGTATAGATATTTTAAAAGTAAGTTTTTCAATAAGAGTGCCTTTCATGTTCTGGTTGTTTAGTAGTGGTTTTGGGAATTAAATAGTGAAGGTTTTTGACTGTAAATGAAAAACAAAAAAAAGTGGAAGATCTTTTTGAATCGCGATTTTTAAAAAACCTTACTGCTGCTTGACGGGCAGTTTTGTAAAAATTCAATATAATAAGAAAAATTCATTGGGAAGAGTGCTAATAACTGTTTAGATCAAGCAGAAGTTAAAATAGCAAAACAAATTTCATTTGGTCGCTTCCGCTGGGACCAACTTTTTCTTGGCTGCAGTTATTTGAAGAAGATAAGCAGTGAATTTTTTTTGGCAGTTTAGACTGAAGAATATATTATTGTCTGACAATGCCAATCAGCAATGAGCGAAATAAAATGGCACTTTGCGGTTGAATTGGGTACTACTGTGAATCTGGAAACGGTAAAAAAAATAATGTTTTTTATAGGTGATTTGAACCTATCTAAAAGTTTTTTTGATTATAATACTTTAAACAGCATGTTATTCAAACGTGAAATCTTTAAAGGAGAGAAGAAAACTGTGTATTATTCAGTACAACACTGCCTTGTTTCAAGTGATTTTGGTAGTTTTAGAGGAAGAAATAGATTTAGACAAAGAATTGTGTTTTCTTAATTTGTGGTTTGCATATTTTTCTAGTTATTTTTATGAGCCAAACAGTTTAAAGCAAACAGATTACAGACAGTTAAGTGGTAGTTAAATTTGCATTCGTTTTTTGCAGCCAAGAACAAAAGCTTTTATTTTACTGAGACTTAAATTTGCCTGTTCAATGGCAAAACTTAAAAATCAGTGATATAAGTTACTTAATACAGTAAAAAGAGTTTTTATATTTCTAAAAGTGAAATAATTCAAATAGTAGGATAGTGTATTTACATAAAGATCTAAAAAAATTTCAAAAGTTTGAAAGGCAGTATATGAATTACAGTATTAATAAGAGCTGAAAATTTTTGGTAGAATAAGAATGATTTCGCACATAAATTTGTAAGTATGGAACAGTGACTATCAGATGGAATAGGTGTAACATGATGGTCAACGTTTCAGGCAAGAAACTGAAAAATCACTGGATTTATCGGAAGGTTATAACAGATTTCGAGAGTGGGAGTGAGCTTTAATTATCGACATAATTATTCAGGTTAGTGGTTCAACAAAAGTTTTTGAAAATGAAAGCGTTCCTGGTTATAAATGCGCTTTACAGTATAATTCTGAATTTGTTCATAATTATGAGAAATTTTTTTTTCCTTTTTTAAACGGACATGATCTTTTTTTGGTTATTCGAGAATTTTTTTATACATTTTAGAGAAGGGAAAGAAAATTGTGAATATGAGCAAGTTCTTGTTTATACGTAGACGATTTAATGCCTTGATATAATTGCTGTCAATTCGAATTAAAATTGAAGGAAGAATTTTGCTGAATATAGGTTACCTTGTAGCACTTGATCATCGAGTTATTCCACAGCTGTATGCCAATAATAAGAAATTATAATTTTACTGTTTGTGAAAAGCGGTTAATTGCACTTTAAGAAAGTTTAAAATTTTTATTACAAATTTTTTAACTGATAGAAAAATTAACCAAAGTTTTTTGATTAATAAGACACTGTTTGCGACTTGTACTCGATGGGAAACTACGATGGTCAGTTGCAAAAAATTTGGAGAGCAATCTGTTGATGTGATTTCTGTTAAGAAATATATCAGAATATCTACTTTTTACGTTCCATTTCGTTTATACAGTAAAAAACTTTTTCATTATTGGCAGCTTTTTTAAGAATCGTTATTCTGAAACCTGGTTGTTGCAAGAAATTTGTTGTTTTTGCAAAAAATATTTATGAATATTTACTGCTCTGAATCAGAATGCTTATTCAATTTAAACTTCGAATTTATTTCGCCTTTAGTTGCTCTATAAGGAATTCTAACTGAATACAGTTGGTGAGTTTGTTAGTTCATTTTCATTTTTACAGACTGTTAATGCGAATAAAATTTTTAATTTTTTTTTCAAGTTGATTTTGTGCATGTCGTTTCAATCAGATGTTAGTATAGCTCTAATTATTACTACTGACTTATCCAATAATTTTTTGAGTCGTTTGGTAAGACATTTATGATGTGGGTGAAGAAGAAATTGGAAATATAATTAATACGTTTTTTTGCATCAAATTTTTGTTCAAAAATAGCTGTTGGCTCAAAAAATAATCTGTTTTCTTTTCACTTTTTCTTTTTACCGAATGAACAACTAATTTACAGAACGGTATATCGTCAATTACTACCGCAAAAGATTAGTAATCAATTAAGAAAGAAAAAAATTTTTTTTTCGCAAATTATAAAATAACAGTTTTGACTTGTTCCAATGATTTAAGGCATAATTTGGTAAATTTAATTATTAACGACCAGAAAACAGCGATGTTGACGCTAAGCCTCAATGAATTCATTGGTTTGACTGTTGCCGTCTAATCCCTGTAACAGTCTGAACCCGCCAAAAAAACTTTCTGTTCCAACTACTGTTTTTAATTTTTTTTTTTTAACTGCTACTTTACTTGTTACCATAATTATTTTTGAAAACTGCAACTTGAAATTGATAAAAACTTTACAAAACATCAAACGCAGTTGAAGGAACATTTAAAAAGTGAGTTACATCAATTTGTATACACCTTTTTCCAAGTAATTATTTAATCTTTTCAGAGAGTGATACTTTAATGGAGTTACGATAATAAAATTTTAAGGTATAATTTGAATAATCTGAGCACTCATCAACCTGTAATAATTTAATTGGTTCGACAAAATGGTACTGTTTGACGTTCTTTGGGCCAGAAATCACTTGAGTAATTCTCAGCTGCTCACTGCATATACTTTAGACTTTTTCTTTGATTCTTTTGTTTTGAATAAGATTACGTCTAACCTGATAGTAGGATTGCCGTTATGAGACGTTTCTTCAAGTTATTACCTTGGTCAAACACTTTAGGAAAGGACAGGAGCACTGTCGAATAAAGGCCTACTTATATCAGCTATCATTTGTACTCGTCGTCACATCAAATTTTCCTAACATACCTTATTTCTGAAGTAAAAATTTACTTAAAATGACATTGAGAAAGATGCAGCGAACGCAGTTAAATGGTTCATACTGTAACGACACATTTAGTCGTTTTTCTTTTTACGGTAAGCTATTTGCTCAGTCTAAAATATCGGAATGACAATCATAGTCATTACTTTTCAATTTTGCTTTTGTTTTGGACTAATCATGTTACAAGCAGTTGCCTTATATAGGCGTTTTTTGTCTGGTTACCCGAGTTATTTATTGTTTTTTTTTTCTCCTTTTTTTTTCTGGCAAGAATTTAGCTGTTTCATCATTAATTGGTCTATTTGAACAGTTAAAAAAAAAAATTTTTTTTTTCAAAGCACTAAACAGTATTAGAACGACTTCTATAACTGCCATAATTTATTTGCAAGATTTATTCGTCTGTCAAATCAAATATTTCCCAAAGCCCATATAAACGACGTCTGCAGTGAAAGTGAAAAATTTAAATACCAGCAAGATTTTTTATTACCGTGATTTGAACATATTAATATGATATAGCACAAAAAAATCTTTTTTTTTTCACTGACAAACGTTTGCAAATAAAGTCTTTCACTTTTTCAAATCTTTCATATTTGGAAATTAATTCTCAATTTTTGAAGTTTTTTACTCTACTTAATCAGGTTACCTCAGATAACGCTTTAAAAGCTTTCAGAATCTGTTTGAAAGCTTTCAGAAATAACAGCTTTTACTAACTTCTTAAAGGCTACATGTAGTTTTCTTCTCTCTTTTCTCGGTGCATAGCTTTAGTCGGTTTTTAAAAAAATTTCTTCCGCTTTATATGTCATTTACCGTTCAAATTTTAAAATGGTTTTCATGATGATAAATCAAAAGTAGTGCTGAGCGTAACTTGTTAGACAATAGAATTTGTTGTGAGCTCTCAAGCTCTGAGGAGGCGGTTTCAAAACTGGCGTGCAAAACACTGAATCATCTTGTCAATTTTTTCAAACATCTTCACAAGTAATTATAGATATTGCAGTCATTTTGACAAGAAGAGGCTAAAAGCAGAAATGTTTCTGTTTAAATGACTGGGTAGAAATATAAACCAAATATTTGCTGCAAATAAGTAACTGCTGCTATGACTGTTGGCTGTAAATAGCTGAATAATTTATACTGTTTTTCTATGCAGTCATTCACAATTTTACAGTTTTTCGTGATGCCTGAACTTTGGAGTTCCAAAAACTGTTTGAAATAAAGCAACATAGAAGCTCATTTTCAGTTTTTTTCAAAACTGTATTTTTATCTCTTAGAAAAGCTTTGATCTAGTCAAGTGGAGGCGTACGTTAGAGCAAGAGTATGTTATACTAAATTCGTTTAAAGGAACCAGTGCGCCAAGAAGCACTGTAGGAAAAAAGTAAGATTTGTGAAA